GTGAATTTCATTGTTAGTACATTCCACTTCATTGCCGATCAATGTGAAAGCTGTATTACAATTTTTATGTTCCAAATGCCTCGTTTTGTTAGCTTTAAATTCTATTTTCTCTCCATTTTATTTTAAAACAGCTGTTTTCGAAATCCTTTCAAAAGTAGCAATTAGGTTCTATAATGATGATCTTTGTCACGTAAGTTTTTAACTAGTGGTTTGATTCCCTCCTCACAGCAATGCAGAACTGAGATAACTCGCTGAAGCTAGAGTTGCGGTGGTGTAAAGAAACCTGGTGTTGATGAGTGGAGCAGTCAGGTCTCTTGTGTCTGGTTTAGGAATTTTCACCCATTTTCAAGCATCTAGAATTATACTGTCCACTCAAAGATGCTCCATTTTGTAACATGTATTGTAGGAACTGAATCCTGTAACGTTGAGCGTGTCTACCAACATTGGTTTTTGTCCCAGCCTGACACAGTTCTGATATCAAGATTCTCTATGCTTTTTGGTGAGGGAGTACCAGAATTTAGCCCTGCTAAATGTCCAAGTCAGGGAGTACGTGCCATCTTAATATTCTCTACTTAACAGCCTGCTGGCTTTGAAAGGCTCATGTTTTTCAAGGTTGGCTTGCTTCTGGTGAGGGATTTTTGTATTGGTAGTGGAGGAGATGAAGCTGTGTTGTAATTTTTTTTTTCCATTCAGTATTTGTTTAGGTCTCTAAGGCCTTAATCTCAGTTATTATGGTTCACTCCTGGAAATGTAAGCTACGTATCTTTTCCAGTAGTTCTTTTACCACTGTCCTGCTTTCCCTTGCATTCTCGTGAATGAACTTCTCCTCTCCCACAATGCTTAGGTGTTTAGGACTTCTTATTTCCAAAATTCAAGTTGAATAGAGCCATTTCTTATTAAACACATGAAAGTATGAAATAATCTCTTGATACTTTCCCCATATAAGCTTTCACATTGAGCTCCTACAAAACAGCACATTCCAACTGTGTCTTAATTGAGAGCTTCAAATCATACTTCAGAGATGTTGGCGTTTGGAGCGTGGTTTGGAGTGATCTGGAATCTGATGCAAGTTTTCTGTCTACAGTCATATGTGAATAAGTGATGAATCAGCAAAGTGTTTTGTCTCTGAACCAAGAAAGATAATTGCTGAAAGCCTGTTTTTTTCAAGTCTTAAAATAGGATGATTTTCTGGACACTTAGGCAGAGCAATTTTTGCTTTAAAATACTTTTGCAAGGGGAATGGCAGCTGAATTATGACCTTTGTGCGTCAGACATTAAATACTTGTTGCAGGGAGCTCTTTGGAACTGAGCTCATGAAAAGGATGCGTGGTGCTGCAAATCATTAACTGTTGATTTCTATAATACTCTGCAGGCATCAATGAATTTGGGCAATATGCTAGTAAATACTATGAAAAAGATTGATATATCAACAAAAAAAGTAATTACAAATCTGCTTAAATAATGATTTTCGTGAGAGTTAGATATGTAGATACCAAATGAAACTTTGGCCTGTGGTTGAGTATTCAGAACCACCTAGAAGATGTCACTCAGGTGTTTTGAAGTTTCCAAAGTTTCTTGAGGTGCGTTAGGTACACTGAATGCTGGATGTTTGTCCTCAGAAATCACCCCTACGTATCAGAGGAGAAGAGGCAAGTTATTTACATAGGTTAGTTGCAGATGTATCACTGGAAAGTTCCCTGCAAGAGAAGAGACATCTGAGTTAAGCACAGTTTAGCCTCTCTGAAAAAGCTGTTGCCCGCAAGTCATTTGCGCCAGAGAGGGTTTGTTTATGATGGTTTAGAAACGTTGTTACTGCAAAGTGTTTGCTCTCAGCGTTCATTATGAAATTACTTCTCCACAGAGCTTGGCAATTTGAATTTGTCATTACTTTTTTTTCCTCAGTGTTTAAGTATTTTAGGGCAATAACTTCCTCCAGAAAAAAAGGGAAACGGCTTTCTTGTCTTAATTTTGTGTGGAGAGCAAGACAATCTTCATGTGTTATCCTTAAGCATCATTTAGATTCCCACATAAGGGCTGTTTTTGACTTACTGCTTCTCTTTGTTCATGAGACAAAGTGAGGGCTCTTCTGCAGATGCTAGTCTTTACATTTCATTAGGAGGGACAACTACATCTGGGTCCTTAGGGCAGTGAAAATGAGGAAGCAGTTTTAGCTGCAGCTTGCAATTTATGTCTTGCATTAGAGATGTTTATGTAGCAGCAGAGGTGGAACTGCTGCTTTACACACGTAAAGTAATCTCTGCCTGAATGATTATTGTCACTAGATGTAAAAGAGTACTGGACTTTCGTTCTCCTACTGGCAGGTCTGGCTGAAATACCAGCCTAGCTGCTGTGGCTGTGAGGGGTGTACCTAAGGTAACGCACACCTTTGACCTCAAAGTCACAAAATGCATAGGGTAGTTGAAGAACAATAAATGCTTAAGTGAAAGAAGCTGGAGGAAAGGATGAAGTCGGGTCCGCATGTCTCTTCATTTGTTAGGGGCAGATAGGTGTGAGTGCAGGCCTGCCGCCTCTGGGTCAGGGGAGACTGGCCATGTGATCAAATTAATGGTATGCAGGTGTGGAGTTTATTTCCCGCAGCTAACATTTATTTGTTTTAATGTTTTTTTGCCACGGTATTTCAAGGATATTTGTAGAACATTAGCTTTTATTGTGTTCTGCCTTATTCTCTGTGCTGCAATAACATCGCAGTCTTGCAAGGGCTGTATAAAGAATAGCGCAGGATATTGCAATCCAGAAACGGTGACTTCAGTCCCAAAGGGTAGAGACTAAAATGTTGGCTATTGCAGGTGGCCTGACAGTGTCACTGAGCATTCTAGCTAGTTTGAAAACTGTCCTCCTAGGATTAGCTGTGTAATCGTCCCGTTACTGATTTATGGCTGAAAAAATCTGGCACGCTATTGCTGGCTGCTAGGTATTTCCAAGGATGGTAGCATCTTAATGAAAGGTGAAGACATGATAGGTAGGTGAATCAGAAGAATGCTTTCCAGCTGTTGGAGTATTGCATTACATAGAGCGTTTTAAAAAACAAACAAACAAAAAACCTGGAAAGGCTTGAGGTTAGTAGAGTGCTCAAAAAGTTTTGTTTGTTGTGAAGCTCAGTTTACTCCAGTGGCTCGCTAATATGTTTGGTAAAGTTTCAGAACCATGTCCTTCAGTTGTGGTCTGAAAGCAAATGCCTGTCTTCTCAACGCTAAAGCCCTCCTCTTTTGAGGGTAAAACTAGAGATGATGGTTATGGGTTTTTTTAAGAGTGTTTTTTAAGGCTTAAAAAGGAAAAGGGGAAAAAAAAGGCTCCTCATTCCAACTTTCTGTTTTCTTTAGCTGTCACAAGACACATTTGTACCGCAGTCGCATGCAGCTCATGACCACATTACAAAGCTGCTTTAAAATCAAGCAACTTATCTGTTACCTGAATATTTGATCAGCTGGGTTTTATTGCCAGCATCAGGCCCCATAATGTAGCCGTTTGTGCTGTAGCTATACCTATGAGGAGAAAAAAGGAGACAAATTCATTTTTCCACTTTTTCGGCCACCTTTCGTATATTAGCTGATCTCGAAACTAGCGGAGTCAGTAACAGTAATGGAAAGTGTCGGTTGTGTGAACAAGTATGTAATGATTGCATTTTGGATTCAGTATTTTAGACTGCACTGCTGATAATTTCTAGCAGTTACTTTTGCAAAGTACCTTTCTTTCTCTAATTTATCTTAAAAGTTATGTCCTCAGAATAAAATTGCAACGCCAATTCATGTTTCATAGATATTTCAGTTCTGCGTTATGTAGTAAGTAATTAAACCCAACAAATTGGGCAGTAGATAGTTGTCTGTATAAGGCAAGTTTAGCTAAGTATCTGATATTCCTCTTTGCGACCACATACTGTTTGTGTGTAAGCGTAAAAAGTTGCTATTGGTGTCAGATTAGTGTTAAAATTGTTCATTTCAAATAAATGGCCAGTACTGAAATTGATAAAGCCAGTAAGTGCTGATTTATACCTGATCGGTTTATCTATCATTCTTTCCAAGAACTTTTGTTTTACTGATATATAGTTAGTTAGTCTTGGAATCTTTGGCTT